ATAAATCATGTCATTGCCCTTATTAAAATCCTTTGGTGGAGGGACCCCTGGGTGGCTCAGTGGTTGAGCCTCTCTCTTCAGCTCATGGTGTAATCCCGGGGTCCTGGGATCGAGTCCCGAGTCAGGGTCCCCACAGGGAGCCTGTTTCTCCCTCTGCCTGTGTCTCTGCACCTCTCTCTGTCTCTCTCATGAATGAATGAATAAATAAATAATAAAAATCCTCCGGTGGCTCCCCTCATCCCCGAAGCAAAGTCCTAAGTCCCTACTATGGCTTGGAAGACTCTGGCACCCTGCCCTCATCCCCACTCCCTGCCCAGGCACCCTTTCCACAGCCGAACCCCAATTCCTTGTACTGTCCTGAGCACATTATGCTCTTTCCGGCCTCAATGCTTTGTTCTCAATGTCCCCTCTCCTTGGAACATCTCCACCAACTGTGATGTCGTCCTGTCGTCCTGTCCCAGAGAACTTGCTCTTCCTTAGGGCTCAGCTCAAAGGTCACTGCCTTTGAAAAGCCTCCCCTGAGCTGTCAGGGAGCACAAGCACTTCCTGTGTGCTCTCCTCTGCCTCCCCCCCCCCACAACCTTACAGAACTGAGTGCTCAGCTGGTTCACCTTTGTCAGAGGCCCAACTGCATCCCTAACCAGTTGAGCACCCCCTGGAGGGGCACAAATCAAGCTCCTTTCAGCTTGGATCCCAGTGCCCAACGCTGTGTCTAACACCTAGGAGGCCACAAATCAATGTTTGTGGGTTGAGAAAAGGCTGGAATAGGAGGCAGGGGAAGGAAGAAGAGGGGAGGATGCAGAGCTTTCCATACCGAGTACAGAAATCTGGAGAGACATGGGAGGAATTCCTGATGACAAGGGCATAGCTCTCCGCCCCATCAGTGTGGGGCTTCACCTGTGAGAGCTCCTTATACCTGCAGAGAATGGGGGCGGGCTCAGAGGGCGCCAGATTTCTGTCACAAAGTCAACCAGGGCTACATCTGCCTTCCCAGTGTGCTGCTCCTTTAGACCAGCAGGGGTCTGCGGCCTCAGGGACCCTGGACTGCCCACAGAAGTCACAGGGAAGCTATGTCAAAGTGAGGCTCCTCCATTGTCCACCCTGACCTGACTCTGCATAATTGCAGATGTAGACATTAACTCAGCACAGCAGGTACCCTTTGACTGAAAAGGATGTATGTACCTCGTTACTCTCATTGAGGCTAATTTGCACTTGTTGGCCAAATTAGGATCCAGATTTTGGGGTAAGACTTTAAGAAATCAGCTTGTCTTCTTAGCATTTATGCAGCACTCCCAGCAATAAAAATAGATGGAGTACTCCATGTTTTGCGGCTGTCTACAATGCTCATATCCTGTAGATGTTTTAGCTCTGGATGCAGCTTAGGTTGCTAATATTAGTTCAGCTCCAACTCATTACTTATGATCCCAGTTTTAAGATGCATGTCAAATAAAAATTCTGACAACTGTCATCAAGGGATGGACGCACGTGACATTGTACTGAATTCTTCTGTATTTGTGGCTGTTTGGAAGACTAGCGAGAATGCCAGCAGATCGTGTCTCTTCTATATTGTGTCCCTACTCTTAGCCAGCTCTTCCTGTAGATCGTAGTCATGACAAATAATATAGATGCCATTATGTGACAAATGACTTTCCCAATTATGCAAATGAAGCATCCTTATTGCTCAGCCAGCGAGCCATCGTGCTCATCGTGCTCATCACGTGTTACGCATAATAAGTCTCTAGTGTCTACAGAAAATAAATGCATTTGCCCAAGTCCAACCCCCAAGTCAGGATATTAGCATCGCTAGGAATGGGCCCTGGAAGGTCCATCTGATAAAGCTCCCCAGGGGATCCTTTTGCACAGCCCAGATTGAAAGCTGTTGAGATGGTGTGAGAGAAGAGATGGGGTTGGCTGAGAAGTGGATGGGAGTCCAGCCTGGAGGCCCCCTTGTAGAGACCTCGGAGGTCTGGGCAGGAGTCAGGGGTTTGGCCAACAATGACTGGAAAATTTGGCCAGCCCCAGGTTCACAGGTATGAACAGAGGGACCAGCAAGATGGGTTTCACATTTTATTCAGAGTCAGGGCAGGAGTAGTCCCCATGGCAACCCTTTGCCTCTGTTCTTGCAGCCTTGATGCTGGTGGACTGTCGGGAACTGAAGGCTGGACTGTGATCTGAGCAGGGCATCTGAGGCAGGGGGCTGGCATGGTCCCTCACAGAAAGGCCCATGGGGGAACTGCTGGGTTCTCAGCATGGTGGGCCCAGGAGATTGGAGACCTATCTACTCTTAAGGGGAGCAAAACAGGGGTGGGGGGAAGAGTGACCTCCTCGGGCTGTCCTTTCCACCTCATGCCTACACTGTGACATCAGAAGGTCTGCTCATACAGAGCAATCTGGGGCATCACCTCAAAGACTGACCTGCTACACTTTCTCCATAGTTGGCTTCAGCCTGAGACAGACTGCCCCAGGCTCCCCAAGGACACTGTCACTTGCGATGGGCCCAGAGAAGCACCCCCATCCCATCTTCCCACTTGAGCCCAAGGCCCGGGGTCTTCCCAGACCCAGAGCAGAGCCAGCACCAACCCATGGGTTATGGCAAAGTCAGAAACAGAGGCTGGGTGTCTATGAGAAAGGCCTTCCTTTGCTGCCTGACTCATCTAGTGCAAGTGTCTCCACTCTGTTGCTCTGTGAGCTAAATGAGGTGGGATCATATTTTAGAAATATTAACCTATCCTCTTCCCACTGGACAGCAGGGCTGCAGTGTCCATTGCCACAGGGGAGGGATGATATAGCAAAAACCTGGTCTTGGGTTTGGAATTTCAAAAGCCTGGCCCCTCAACATAGGTGACAAGAACGCAAGACACATAGAGTGGGTTTGGAAGATGCATGCTGGGTTAGACAAAAGGCCCCACTGGTAAAGATGCCATAGATTGATGGGGGCTGGGGAAGCAAAGAAACTGTGGACATTTCTAGGGTCCCTGAGATGGGAGCTGTGTCTGAAGGGATGAGGGGATGTGACAAATATCCCAGGAAACTTTGGAGATGACAAGGGTGGAAGAGCCCTGAGCCCCATGTTTCCAGGATAGAGCCTGAAAAAAACCCCAGCAAAATGCAGAGTACAGCAGACCACCTGCTGTCCGTCTGAGCAGATGGGCTTGCGAGTGCCCCGCAGAGCTTTCTGAAGTGCAGACGGGTCCAGGTCTAGGAGCTAGAATGTCCTCATGCCCCAGGAGCAGGCAGGCTCAAGGAGGTTCCGTGGTAGGGAGTGAGGGAGCACCTAGCAAGTGCCAGGCCCAACAGTGACCAACCCGGTGACAACCAGATAGGAATGGGAAGGTTTTAGCAGGTGCTGGCATGCATGGATGTTGATGACTGAGGAATACAGTCTTACACTACTTAATGCTTTCCCCCCTCACCAAATTTAACCCCAGGAAAAGGTGAGGGATGCACCCCAAATTGATTGCAATTAATTTCTACCATCTGGCGAAAATGAGGTTCATAATACAAATTCCATTCAGTGTTAGAAAAATAAAGTTATTTTCTTGCATATTAGAGTTTGTGGACTGAGCTGTATTTACTATGTAATTAATTCATGTCTTCTTTAGGGTTTTGTTATAAAATAAAAGGTGAAAAAAGAAATTTCAGCGAACTAACACTCTATGCACGAAAAGAAATGCCAGTTGTAGTGTTTGTCGATCACAGATTTTCCCTCGAGTCTTTGAATTCAGAAAGCACAGGGGGCTTGCCACAAGTTCGGGCCAAATGGCTAGCTAGCATTTTCTGAGTGACATTTCTACAATTTAAGGTCATGGGTTGTTCTTTTTGTTTTTGTTTTCTCCTCGGTTCACCCTCAGTGATCCAAACCCAGCGGTCACCGGGGAAACTGAGAACCTGGTTGGCTGGTGCTCAGGATGAGAACGGGAGGGAGGACCCCACTCGACAGGCTCTACCCGAATCTACTGCTCCGTGGCGACCGCCAGCAGCCCTGAAATGACAATGCTGGGAGGAGGAGGGCAGTGGCACGGTTGTGGGGAACCATCTCGGTGGTTGCAGAGGAACAGCTGGGACTCCCAGGTAGTCCAGAAGCTGAGGACCAACCCCAGCAGCTGAGGGCTTGCTGCCCCCCTGGGGCCAACCACACCCCAGGTGGAGGGAAGGTTTGGCGTGGGTGGGCATGGAGCAGCTGGCCCTGGGGTAATAGTCCCAGTGCCTCTGGTTCAGAGACCTCCAGGCTTGACTCAGCCGTTAGTTTCATCATCCCATGGTGCACTGGGCATTCCTGAGGGCTCCTGGGAATATAGGCAGGGCAGGGGCAATTAGGGAGGGCTGGAGAAGCCTGTGGGAAAAGAGAAGGGAAGACAGTGACTACATGGGGGGGAGGTTGCCTTTCCAATCGAGGACCCTTGTCCCGCCATCCAGTGCCAAGCAGGTGGAACCTGCGCGAGCCCCTAGCAAGCATGCTACCGGCAAAGAGTCTGAGATCATGTCAACTTTACTGAGACGTGTCATTAAGAGAGAAGCTCCCTCCTTTGGGCTGAAGTTCTTACTGAGCATGGACATTCCATTCAACAAAGGTTTAGTAACTTGCTTCCTTCCAGTGGAATTCCGAGCAGGAGGGTAATGATTGTGAGAGGGCAGGTCAGTCTCCCCAGAGCACCTGAAAGCACATCACTGCCCTTGCCTTCACCCCAGGCCCTCTTAGGAGGACCCCCATGACCTCAGCTGACACTGGACAAAGCGGTGAGTCCTGACACTTGTGGTTTACATCGGGCTGTTCAGCAATGAACTGTGCTACTTCTGTCCTCGGGGTGCCCTGGTCTGAGATCCACGAGCCCAGAAAGATCTATGGACTGGTGCTGAGGCCGATGGCCCCGGGCAGAGCCTACCTGAACCAGAGCCAAACCAGCAAATGGGGGTGGGGGAGGATGAAGGCCCAGTCCCCTGGCTCCCATCGTTGGCTTCAGCGTGTGAGACGTGGCCTGGGAGGGAGGACTCAGATATTCTCAGGCACCGAGGGCATCGATGCCAGCAGGGCTGAGCACCAGGGCCTGAAGGATGTCGGAGAGTGACACCACACCCAGGAGATGCTGAGTCTCATCCACTAGCACCAGCCGGTGTACCTGTGGGTCCGCAGAGGGTCCGTGAGGGGTGGGAGCTCTGCAGCTATGGCAGCCAGCAAGGTTGGCACCAAGAATCAGGGGCAACAACAGAACATAACGGGGAGCAAGAGAGTGTCCCCTAGAGACCAGTTAGGGGTGGCTCTGGCCACTCTGGGTGATCAGCTGTCCGTGGCCCTTAGCACAAGGGTCCCAGGGGCCGGAGCAGCTGCAGACCAGGGTGGACACCGAGAGCTGGAAATGGCCATGAAATGGGAGGAGAGGGCAGGTGCCGGGTGTATAGGGACAGCTGGAGCTGCTCATGAGGTCGGGGCCATACATGTTGGGGGTGCGCACGAGGAGGCAGGAGGTACCTGCTCCCGGGCAATCCGGTCGATGACTTCCCCCAGGCTCTCGTGAGGTTGGCAGGAGAGGACTCCCTCCAGGCACAGTGTCCTCTGCTTCAGTGCTTCTCCCACACTAATGTCTAGGTGGTTGTAGGTTTGCTGGGCAGCCAGGTGCTGGGGCAGAGAGGGAAGGGCCTTGTTAGTCACCCCCTTAGCCAGGCTCCAGACCCACAGACACTGCCCACTACACATCCCTAAAGGTCCTTCTGGTCCACAGAAGCCTCTCCACCGATTGTTACACCCACAGCCTCCCGGCAGTTCCCCACTCCCGCAGACACTTACAATCACATCAAAGCGAGAATAGAGGCCCACGACCTGTCCTGCGGGGGTAGGGGTGGGGGTGGCGAGAGAGAAAGGGAAGAGGTTCACATCAGAGCCATGATGCTGTGCAAGACGGAGCGGGCTTTCAGAATGATCTACTGGGCATCCCCCCATCCCTCCCCGGGCTACCGGCTTTAAAATGAGGCACGGGGCTGCCACCACCTGAACCCACAGATCACACAGAGTCACACACAAGGAGACGGCCTGACATGTCTCCTGGTGTGATGCAACGTGAGTACAGAGTGTCACCTCTGAAATATCCTCGCCTCAAATGGACAGCCTGAACCTGACCAAGCCTTTAGATCTAATTTCCAGTTTATGGGAGACCTGGGAATAGAGGAACAATGCTGAGGCCACCTGTAGAAAGCAGAGACGAATCTGGAGGTGGGACGTTCCATAGGGCAACCAACCCATTATAATGTCATGAAAATTAAGTGAAGGGGGAACTGTTCTAGATTAAAAGAGACTTCAGACAAAAGAAGCAAATGCAAAGCATGGACCTTAATTGGATCCTGGTTTGTACAAATCAACTGTGAAAAAGATACTCTTGGGGAAGGTGAGCAAATAAGAATGAGGATCGGATCTTAGATAATATTAATAAATTATTCAGAATTTCGTTAGGTGATATAGGAAATATACTGATTTTAAGAGACATAGACTGAAGGGGTAAGGGGTAAATAACATGATCTCTGTAATTTAAATTATGTCAGCAAAAAAAAAAGGGGGAGAAAAACTGGTTATGGAAATATGTTAACAGTAGTCAATCCAGGTAATGGATATGTGGATTTCACTACATTTTTTCCTATCATTTTCATACGTTTGAAACTTTTCATAATAAAAAATAAAACATGTTTTGATATCTAGCTTGATGACAGCAGTTTTAACTTTGAAATGGTTTATAGCCATGATTCAACCAAAGAAATGTAGTCCCTCTAACCCCTATTCAGAGCAAGAAAAGGGGAGATCTGGCTGGATCCCATGGCCCATTTTAGGAGGAATTAACATTAAAACCTCATCTTCTGTTTCCTCTCACCATACTTATTTTGTTGCACATATTCCTTTCAAATCATCCCTTGAAGTCAGAGGATGAGTGTTATTAAGATTCCCAACTCATAAATGAGGAAACTGAGGCACAGAGAGGCTAAGTAATGGATCCGAGACCCAAAGCAGCCCCCACTCCACCCTGGGTCCTGAACTGATGTCCACAGACCCCTGCCTGCCACCACTGCACCCCAGCCAGTCCCACGCCTGGCGCAGGTACCAGTTTCATTGACCACGGGCAGTGCAGACACGCGTCGGTCCACAAAGATGTCCAGCGCCGTCAGGATGGGCGCTGTGTCCAGCACCACGGCCAAGTCCCGGAATGTCCCAATGCCCAGATCTTGGATGGTGCGAGAGAGGAAGGAGGGCTGGGGCAGCAGGGTGCCCTGGGTGGGTTAGGGACAGGTGGGGATCAGGGGGCCCAGGGCTCCCAGCCGCTCCCTCCCCAATCCGTTGGGCCAAGGACTTCTCAGCCCCTCAGGGCACCCCGAGGCTGCGCCCAGGCTCACGAAGATGTGCAGGAACTTGAGCAGCCGCTTGTGTGTGAGGATGTGGAGCACGGCGCCGGAGACCGGGTCCAGAACCGGCAGACGGTGGATCCGGTTCTTGATGAGGGCGTAGACAGCTTCGAACAGGCTGCAGAGGTGGGAGCAGTGGGCCTAGGGGAGCTACACCCCCCACCCCAGCCCCTGCAAAAGGAGGACAGGGCGTCCAGGCTGCCTGAGCCCTGCAGGATGAGCCCCTGAGTTCAGACCTGGGAGGTGTGGAAGGGGTTGCTCGGGCGGGAGGCGCCGCTGGGTGGCTGGGGACACTTACCTGCTATTGGGAGAAATGGAGACCAGAGGCTTGAAGCAGCCTTGAAGGTAGATCTCTGTAGGCAAACCAGGGTCCGGTTCAGGGAGGCGGCTGCCCGGCCTGTCTTCCTCCCTCGGACCCCTGGGCTCCCTCTTGCCCTTCCCCCTCTCCCTCCAGGTAATCTCCACCCCTGCCAGGCCTTCGGGCCCCAGGCTCACCCACACACCTCAGCCTCTGCCAGGCCCCTGATCCTCGGGCTCCAGGCTCACCCACACACCTCAGCCCCTTCAGGTCCCAGGTCCTCGGCCCCAGGCTCACCCACACACCCTCAGCCCCTTCAGGTCCCAGGTCCTCGGCCCCAGGCTCACCCACACACCTCAGCCCCTTCAGGTCCCAGATCCTCGGCCCCAGGCTCACCCACACACCCTCAGCCCCTTCAGGTCCCTCCGCCAGCTCACCTCTCCAGGTCTCAATCGTATGCTGTTCAATCTCATAGATCTGGACCTAGACACCGAAGGCAGATATGGGCCCCTTGGGCACCAGGCTCCCTGAGCTGCCCTCCGCCCTCGCCCAGATGGGAGCCCCCGGGACCCCCAGCCGACTCCTCACCAGCGGGGACCTGTAATAGCGGTGCAGCACCAAAATGAAATCCGTGATGGTCAGCATCCCTACGGGGGATGGGGAAGGAGGGGGGCTTGTGGTGAGAGGCAGGTTGAAGGGTCAGACCCCCTTCCCGCTCTGCCAGAGGCCGAGGACTGAGACAGCTGTGGGAACCGTGGAAAGAGGGGAGCAGGGCAGCCCCTCCCATGCCTGAGAAATGGGGTCACCCCTTTTATGCTTCCCCTGCAATCCCTCCCCGCCCACCTTCCGGTCTCCTAATTTCTTTCTCTCGCTCCCTCTCTTCCTATCTAGCACCTAGGACACAGGACCCGGGGGAGCAGAGCTGGAGGGGTCAGCTGGTCACACCCACTCCACACACGGGGTCTCCCACCCGGCGCCACGGGGTCACACGGTCCCCCGGCCAGGCCCCAGCGCGGCTCAGCCCGAGGGTCTGCGCGAGCCCTCGGTGGGTCACAGCTCGGCCCCAGAATCCCCTCTGCCTCGGGGTGCCCGAGGGAAAAGAAGAGGGAAAGCTCTCCTCTTTCCCTTCCCGACCACCTCTGCCTCCCAGCCCCTGCTCACCCACGAAGCTCTGCTTCTTGCTGTCCCACAGGGGTGCCGCCCGGATGCCGTTGGCCACGAGCGCAAAGAAGGCCTTCTTGATCTGAGGGCCAGAGAGGTGAGGGGTGAGTCTCCCACTGCCCCCCGGGCCCCCCGGGGTACCCTGTCCCCACCAGGGCCCTTCCACGGGGCCTTCTCCCAGGATCTCCTCTACGTGAGCTCGACTGCCTTTCCCAGGCCATGGCCGACCCTAGACACCATCCTGGTCAGGCACACTGGCTTAGAGGTGACGCTGCTGGTGGCCAGAGGCACTGCGGTGACCCCTTCGCCGGCAGCCACCTGTGGGCAGCGTTTCCACTCAGAAGTCGTAGGTGTACAGTCAGGCACAGTAGAGCTTTTGCTAACCTCAGTTCTAGAGGTGTGCTTATTTACGGAACACTTTGAAATACTTTTCTCTAAATAAATTTGACACTGACTCGTGTGGCCTCATCCTAAGTGGTACCATCCATACTGCTTGTACCTGTTCTGGTTGTGTCTTCCTAATGCATGTTAAAATAAATGCAGAACTACTCAAATAAATATATTTGTTCATGTACCACCAGAATCAAATAGTGTACTGTGGATGGCTCATAGGCTATGCTTCTGGAAACAGAGCCCTGCTCTGTGTGATGCTAAGCACGGAATCAGGCGTTCCATAGCTTAGCCTAATGGAAGAGCAGAGACTAGAGCTCATTCTAATTTTCTGTTATTGAGACCTCCCTGCTGTCTGGCCTAAGCCACCCTGCAATGTCTTCCGCATACTTGGGGTTTGCAAAGTGCTCCCATGTATCCTGGATGGTCCCAGGAGTCCTCTAGAGCTTGTAGGGAAAAGCAGGCATTTCTGTTCCCATTTTATTTAATTTTTTCATTATGTACTTATTTTTTACTAATCTCTCCACCCAACGTGGGACTCGAACTCATGACCCCAAGATCAAGAGTTGCATGTCCTTCCAACTAAACTAGCCAGGCGCACCCCCATCCTTATTTTAGAGATGAGAGGGGTATAGTAACTAACCCAAGATCCTAGAGATACTAAATGGCAGAGCTAGGATGACAGGGAGAGAAGCCCTCCCCAGCACTGGTCTCCATGGTGCTAGGAAGGAGTTCTGGAAGGGGACTTGCAGGGTGCCCAGCGGGGTGTCCTGGAGGGTGTGAGTGGTGGCTGCAGCCCCATGAGGATGGAGGTGGGGGCAGCGCCATGGCCTCACCTCCAGCGTGATGTCGAAGATGACCAGCTTGGAGCTGGTTGCCATGGCATCGTAGCAGGTGTGCTCCTGCATGAAGTGCATGTAGACTTGGGCCCCCGGCTTCTGCAGCTCGTCGTCCCAGCCCGGCCTGGGTAACAGGGCCCGCGGGGAGGGACACAGGGTAGGCCTCTCTTCCACCAGGCCGAGCTCGTACCCCCAGTCTGCTGTGACTGGGAACTCTATATCCAGCTCCAGATCATCTGGACTGGAGCCTACGGCTGAGGCTGCATGGTTCAGGGGGGAGATGTCCCACTCTGTCGGTGGGGTGCCCACCCTGGCCAAGGGGGCAGCTTGCGACAAGTGTGTGGCCTTGGGGAATGTGGCCTCCAGCCCGGTGCACTCAGCAGGTGGCCTGGCCTGGGGATCTGTTGGAGGGGAGAGGACAATAAGTCCATCTTCCAGAGCGCTTTCTCATCTGCTGGCTCGGGTCATCCTCACAGCAGGCTTGGGAAGCCTGGATGCTATGGCCCCATTTTGCAGGTGAGAACGCTGAGTCTCAGAGCCACACAAGATAGTGGCTCTGTCCTGAGTTGGCCATGCCAGGCCCCTGGCTCTGCCGTGCAGTTGACGTTTCCCATATGGACAGAGTGGGGCTACAAGATGAGGCTTGGGTCCATCTCTATGAAGGGATCAGAGCAGAGCCCTGGGTCCCAAGCTCTGGGACGTCCCACTGCCCCTGCTCCCAACTCTCCGGAACTGGCCTTGGCCTCACCTTCCTCCAGACCCGGCAGCTCCCCTTCCTTCACCGCCTCCTGCCTCGTCCATCTCGAGGACTTGGCCCCCTGTTTCCCATGGCTTCTTTCTGAGCCAGTGGTCATGGCTGGTGATGGCCATGAAGTGCTCTCTCCTTGTTCTAGGAAGCTCATCTCTGGAAGGGGGAATGGGGCCCGTTTGGTTAATAGGGAGTAACACAACAAAATCAATGAAAATGTCATTAATAATAACATTTAATATTTGCAAGCTTCCCAAGAGTTTTTCTCCTCCATATTTCTCACTCCTAGCAATCTTATAAGGGAGACATTATCATCATTTTTATTTTATGAAAGAGAGACCTGAGATCAGAGATGTTAAGCAGTTTGCCACAATTCACACAGTAAGTGATAAAGTCAGAACCAGGGTCAGAGTCTTCAGACTCTACATCCCTCCCCCGCCCCCCACCTCCCTCACCCCCTGTAACTTCTTCTGATAGAAAAGAGTGATGAAGGGAAAAGGAAAAGACACAGGAGCAAAAAAAGGAAAAGGAGAGAGAGAGAGACAAAAGATGGGCTATCAGAGCCGATGAGATGAGGGTCCCAAAGAGGGGGGACAAAGGAAGTGGGAGAAGAGGCTGGGCCCTGAGGAGGAGGCAGCTGCACCTACCTTGATGCTCGGGTCCCTCCAGGCTGCTCCAGGATGGGTTCTGTGGGGAGGAGAATGGTCTGGAGGGGTGGGGGAAGTGCCCTACCTTCTCGAACCACAGGTAGGTCCTCTCCCCAGCAGGCCTGCGTGTGCATGCACCCACCCCCGCAAGCACCCCCCCTTACACAAACACTTATACACTCAGGAAAACACACATCCAACCATTCCCAGACACACACAGAACCACATAGGTTGCTTACAAGAAGAATACACATACACACAGACACCCACATGCTCACACACACACACACACACACACACACACACACACAAGATCCAGGCTGCACATGCACACACACACTCACACACATTCACACAGTGTGCTGTGCTCGCAATCCACTGGCCTCGGCTGCCCCAGCTCCCGTCCCCGGGGACCCCTATACCCGGCGTAGTGTGTGCTCCATGCGGCCAACCCGGACCAACGGAGAGCAAGTGCGCAACACTGGCCGGGTGGCACTATTCTGGGCCCGGCCCTTGGCACCCTGCCCTCCCCGGATCGGTTTCTCTCTGATTGGGTGTCAGGCAGCGGGAGGGAGGGCTCTGCAGGCTCGGCTGCTCCCACCCAGAGCCTGGAGCAGGGTGGGGAGGGAAGGGGTGTGCCTGGAATCTTGAGACCTGGCCTTGGGCTCCCTCCTGGGTTTTCAAGGACCAGCTTGAAGGGCTTTGCCATGGGGGAGGTGGCTTGGAGCACTGTAGGGGCACGGGTGGGAGGTGGGCTTTCAGAGTCCTGGGCTCCTGCTCATCTTCATCAGGTGCCAAAGGAGGGGAAATGGAGGCGAGTTGAGCTCAACTTTCTTCCTTGTACAAACTTCAGTCGTAGGTGGTGCTGGAGTCAGAGGGGGCAAGTGGGAGCCAGCTGGGAGGCTAGGGGCTGAGGGGTTTGTGGGTGGTCCCAGAAAAACGGCCACTGTGTGTCCAGATGTCCCCATTCGAATCCCAGGAGCCCATCCCTTCCTCTGCTGGAAGTTGGGGTGGGATGAGTTTGGAAGGTGGGGAGCTAGGAGACTCACCATGAACCCACCATGAAGGTGTGTGGTGGGCTTGAGGGCCCAGGATGAGAGCCATCTGTTTCTACCAGTGATCTGGAGGTGGGTCCCAGGGTGTGGGAGCCCCGGTCCCAACATCCTCTCTGCGTGCTGTTCCTACATATCCTGGTGCCAACAGGATCCCAGCCCGGCTCTGGTGGCTGCCCACCCCCCTTCCTTGGCATTCCTGGGGCCTGAGTCAGTATCCAAATCAGGAATGCTGACCCAGCTGCTCTAGCTCCCCTCTCTCTGCCCCCCCTCCTCCTTCCAGCCTCTCCCATCCCAGTCTCTGACCCTGGAGTGGACACTCAGTAATGAATTACTGGATTTCTTGCTGAATGTACGGAACATATTTCTCATCATCTCGCAAGGCCCCTGTACTGCCTACAGGGAGGAGGAGGAGAACAGATCAGGGACTTGGCCCTTCCCCATGTGTGTCTTGAGTAGCACAGGGGGTGGGTGCAGCTCTCCTGCAGGATCCCTGTGGCCTGCTCCCGTCTCATCCCAGATGGCGGAATCTCCAAGGCACAGCCGATGGGACGCCTTGGCTGGTGGAAGTGTCAAGTGGACCATCCTTGGACAGGTCCATCCACTATGCGATGGACCTAGAAAGCCTCTACCCACCTTAAGCTCTGGGCCCACCTTCACAACCGAGCCAGATAGAGAACAGTTGACACCAATGCCTTCTCCTGTGATACTCCATTCTCCTCTCGCCCTGGGGCCTGTTCCACCTCCAGGGCCAGTGGGAGGGGTTCTTCTCTAAGAAAGCCTTCCCCAATAGCATCACTCCCACTGCACTAGTCTCCTTCTAGTGCAGGCTCAAGGTACACAGAGTTGGCATTTAGATGACTGTGCACGTGTGAACGTCCTCTATCTCCAAGGAAACAGTGGCCACCTTGATGACCAAAGTGTGTTGGATGGATGTGACAGAAACCCTGTTTTATGGTCAGATGGACCTGATTAAAATTCATGTTCTGCCGTTTGTTTGCCATAAGACCTTGAAAAGCATTGCTTGTATTCTCTGAGCCTGTTTCTACCAATGTAAAATGAGGATAAAAACATTCTGTGGCAGATTGCCAGTTGCCTCCCAATATCTATTTTTCTCTTCTTCTTTTAGTAGGAGAATTACTTGAATGTTAGCTGGAGTGGCTGCCCTTAATAAAGACTCAGATTCCCAATCTTCCTTGCAGCTAAATGAGACCTTGTGGGGCGGCCAGGTGGCTCAGTGGTTTGAGCATCTGCCTTTGGCTCAGGGTGTGATCCCGGGGTCCTGGGATCGAGTCTTGTATTGGGCTCCCCGCAGAGAGTTTGCTTCTCCCTCTGCCTATGTCTCTAATGAATAAATAAATAAAATCTAAAAGAATAAAGTGATAAGTTTTAAAAAATGAGGCCTTGTGATGAATTTTTGCCAAAGTGAGGTGAGTAGAAGGGATGTGAGCAACTTCCAGGTCAGGCCTTCAGAGAAAGAGGCGTGGGTTCCCTCCTTCTTCCTTTTCCCCCTCTGCATGCTGGAATGCTAAAATGACGGCCGGAGCTAGAGCTGCTATCCTGTACCCAAATTGGAAGATGCTTGTTAAGGGTTTCAAAGTCACCCTACCAGCTTTAGACTGTCTATAGACTATTATATGAGAGAGAAATAAATGTTCTGTTTAAGTCATTCTTGAGTCGAGTCTTTGGTACAGCGACCAGACATGCATCCTAATGAACGCAGAATTGGTATCTGTAAGTAGCACTGCTCTGAAAGTCTAAACCAAGCGACATTGGTTTAGAGATTGGGCAGCAGATGGCAAAGCAAAGCACTGTAAGCTGGTGAGGTGGTGACCATTGTTATATTCCAGCAAAACATGCGGCGTGATAGTCATCTATGATGCTTTGAAAGGTAAATCTTAACAGAGCCTGTTAAGTCACAGAAACTGGATGGAAACACAGACTGGTGGCGTGCGTCGGGTGTTGCTTGCTGCGGCGACTAGCAAAGACCTACAGGAGAGGTGCACTCAGGCTGGTTGTAAGAGTGACTTGGAAGAGGCAGCCTCAGCCAGGTTGTACCTGTAGTTCCAAACCTTTCTCCAGCACACTCCGTTCAGCAACATTAGGAGCTGGCTCAGTGGGCAGGATAAGGGAGGCTCCCTTCGCAGCCAAGCATATTTTTTCAGATGGCCTCAAGATAGCCACCAGCAGTCTGAGAGAGAATAGAAAGTACACCACGTCCAGAGAGTATAGGGCACAGGAATTATGTCTCCATGAGACCATCAGCTGTGGCTACGCAAATATAGAACCAGTCAGAAGCCTTTTAAGATTTTGAGGGTCGTGGAGGCACCTGGGTGGCTCGGTGGGTGAAGCATCTGACTTCGACTCAGGTTGTGATCTCAGCATCCTGGGATTAAGTTCCATGTTGGGCTCCCACACCCAGCACAGAGTCTGCTTGTCCCTCATCCTCTCCCTCAGCCCCTCCCCCAGCTCGTGCACTCTCTCTCTGTCAAATAAATAAATAAAAGCTTTTAAAAAAAAAGATTTTGATAGTGTTGTATTAGCAAAGAAACTACAAACCTAGTCACCAACAGCTGGTTTGACCCATCCAGCTTCCCAGATGTGTGCCAGCCGAAGGAGGTCTATAGAAGCTGTAAAGTCTGCAAGGACGTGTTCTGCAGGGTAGCCATAGAGGATCCTAGGTAAGGGATAGCTTCCCAGGAGGCAACAGCACATGCCACATAGGGTGGCAGAAACGGAGGTCATCTCAGAGAGCAGAACCAGTGGCGGCCAGAGGCATCGCCCAAGAACTTACTCCTCTGTGGGGAAGCAGCTTTGCAATCCCTGCCCAACTGGAATTGGTAATTGATAAGATCCAGTGATTGCTGGGCGTTTGCCTTTCTTTCTTGTTCCAAGTAGACTTCTTTAAAAACATTTTTATTTAAATTCAGTTTAGTTAACATATAGTGTGTTATTAGTCTCAGAGGTAGAATTTAGTGACTCATCAGTTGCATATAACACCCAGTGCTCATCATATCATGTGCCCTCCTTCATGCCCATCAAGGGTAGACACACAAGGCTGGCAGCAGACCTGTCCGCAGAGAGCTGGCAGGCCAGAAAGGACTGGCGTGATATCGTCAACATGCTCAATGGGAAAAATATGCAGCCAAGAAGACTTTATCCAGCAAGGCTGTCATTCAGAATAGAAGGAGAGATAAAGGGTTTCCAGGACAAACATCTAAAGGAATTTGTGAACACTAAACCAGCCCTGCGAGAAATGTTAAAGGGGACCCTTTGAGCGGAGAGAGAACCCAAAAGTAACAAAGACCGGAAAGGAATAGAGACAATCTACAGGAACAGTGATTTTACGAGTAATACAATGGCACTCTTTCAACAATTATTCTGAATGTAAATGGTCTACTTGCTCCAATCAAAAGACACAGTATCAGAATGGATTAAAAAACAGACCCATCGTCGATATGCTGCTACAAGAGACTAATTTTAGACTCAAAGACACCTCAGATTGAAAGTGAGGAAGTGGAGAGCCACGTATCATGCTAATGGACATCAAAAGAAAGCTGGAGGGATCCCTGGGTGGCGCAGCGGTTTGGCGCCTGCCTTTGGCCCAGGGCGCGATCCTGGAGACCTGGGATCGAATCCCACGTCGGGCTCCCGGTGCATGGAGCCTGCTTCTCCCTCTGCCTGTGTCTCTGCCTCTCTCTCTCTCTCTGTGTGTGACTATCATAAATAAATTTAAAAAAAAAAGAAAGAAAGCTGGATAAGTCATCCTTATATCAGACAAACTAGATTTTAAACCAAAGACTCTAATAAGAGATGAAGGACACTACATCACAACAAAAGGGTCTATCCAAGTGGATGGTTGTTTTTTTTTTTTTTTAAGATTTTATTTATCCATGAGAGACACACAGAGAGAAGCAGAGACACAGGCAAAGGGAGAAGCAGGCTCCCTGTGGGGAGCCCAATGTGGGACTCGATCTCAGGACCTCAGGATCACACCCTGAGCTGAAAGCAAACGTTCAACCGCTGAGCCACCCAGGTGTCCCCCAAGTGGATGTTTTAACTGAGTTTATCCTGTTCCTCCTCCACTGCTGTCTATGGGGAGCAGAAGGAGCAGATTATCTGCCTTTTAGTTTACAGGTCACTAGACCATAGGATCCAATCCACACCTCATCCTTCAGAGATCCCGGGCTCTGAGCTGGTGCGGTGCCTGGATGCCTCCCTCCAAGGGCTGCTGACTGTGCTCTTTGTTGGGGAGGGTGGGGGGGAGCTTCTAGCAGAGCAGTGTCTCCTCCCTCCTTCTTATTCCTCTACGAGTAATCCTCACAATTTTAACAAAGTATAAGATTATATTTCCCAGCTTCCTTTCCAGATGGTATGGCCATGTAACTAAGCTTGGAGAATGGGATGGTATCTGCGTTATATGCAG